TAATTGATTAACCAATGAGTTAGGTATCTAGTCAGTAATGTTAACAATATATCAGTTACCCAAGTCTCAATATGTTGTTCAACAATCAATCCACTATAATGAACACCCCCCCAAAAAAGAGAGATAGTTAAATTAGAGCAGTACTATACAGTAGAACAGTTCTATAGTATCTAAGAGGCATCCACTAGATAGGGAGAGAATGTTGGTTTCTCTTCAGATCATATAAATCTTTCGCCTTTTTTTCTCCTCAGTTTTAGGTTGCGTCTCTCTTTGTTCAGTTTCCAGCCAGTGCTGCTTGTTTTGCCTTCTGCTGCTTTAGAAAATACATTGCCCCCCACTTCTTTGTGGCAGCCCCTTAAAAGCCTGTTGCCTGTCACACTCTTGGGCAAAGCATGGGAGCCATTTCCTCTTTTCAGTGGTTCATGAAAATACATCTATAGTATATAGATAATAAAGTCAAAAAAAGGTGAACAACCTATTTACAGAACTATAGATACTTTGAGTCTGGATGTGACAAGGAGTGGCTGGCATCCAGGCAAGGCACCCCTTGATGTGAATGACATTGAGTTGGCCATGCCCACCCAGGAACATGCTCACCAAGCCACACCCACAGAACCGGTAGTAAAAAATTTTGAAACCAATCACTAATCTGCGCATTCAATTAACAAAGACATTGGGGAAAGCAGCGAATGATCACGGTCATTTAACATGATTCAAATGAATCCTTGGGTTACAAATGCAATTGGCAGGCTCTATTACATTTGTAACTGAAAGATTTAATGAGAGTGAAAGAGAGTCTCAGGGAAGTCCTGCCCTAGGACTTGGTCACCACAGGTGCTCCTCCCACATGAGTCCCGTATCCAAACCCATCATGACCATGTCCGCCATGATCACCATGATCATGCCCCCCAGGCATGCCCCGGCCCTCCAAGGTCAAACACAACCCTTATCAGTCCTCAATGAAATCAAGTTTGACACCCCCATTCTAGAGGATCATTATCAAAAGAAGAGAATGAAATATATTAACATGTGTTAATTTATTTTCTTAACATTACTGTGTGCTGCTGCTGCTTGTTCTTTTCTTTCCTTTAAAAAAAAAGACTTACCTGCTTGTATAGCCTGTGCTATAGAACTGAAAGCAATTCTTCAGCTCTAGAAGTTATTACACTGATGAAATATCTGTAACAAGCTATTGCTGTGCAATTTTTCTCACTGTAACTGTTTGTGTCTTCTTGTATGAACATGTATTTAAAACAAGAATTTGGGAGACAACTGTTCAACAAAGTTGGCAGGAAATGTGACATCTTTTGAAAGCAGCATCTAAGGTCTTGTGGGAAATATTTGAGAACATTTTGCTAAGACATTTTTAATGAAAGCAAAACAACAAGGTCCTCAATGGCACCTTAAAGTAGAGGTAGGCAAAATCATGCCCATGGGCACCAATGTGTTTTACATACTTATGCTTTCATCAAGCTCCAGCCCCGCTTTACAAAATTATTAACTGAAATAAACAAAATACTATTCCTGATCATCATATTCATTTGCAGCAATGCCTTTGGGTCCACAAACATCTCAAAGAATCCTTGAAAGTATAGAGAATGTTTGGAGCTGGTCATGTTCAGTAGAATAGTTATTTATACAAGGGCAACACCCACAGCAGTAATATCACCTGAAGTGACTCTGAAAAGTGTACAATAAAACCAAGAATTAGAACATTTGGCAAACCCATTATAACAATAAACAAGAATAGAACAAGATCCTAAGAGGGAAGATATTTACATAGAGTACAACCAGTGATGAAATCCAAAAGTTCTCCCTACAGGTTCTGTGGACATGGCTTGGTGGTCTGGTGGCTGGGTGGGCATGGTCAACTTGATGTCACTCATCCCACTCTGTTAGATCCAGGAGCTGCACATTCTGACGCACACTCTGCCCTTCTGAAACTCCCAATGCTTTGAGTTTCCCTCCACCATCTGGTTTGACTGCCCAAGCAAATCTCAGAACCTTCTCTTGTCCTGCTCTCCATCCCAGAGGGCAGCACATCCTCCCCACAAATCCTCCATACAAACCATCTGCCCTGTTTCTGCAAAGGCAGAGCCCCCACCCCCTTGCAGGGCCATCCAAAGAGGGGAGGCTGCCTTCCACTCGGGACAACATGCCTCCTGTGCTGGCTCTGTGGGGCTTGGAGCTCTGAAGCAGCCCACTGGCTTCCCACCTGGCCACCATCTGCTCTCTTTGCAGATTGGCCTGGCCAACTGCTGGCATCACTCTGGGAACTTGGCTTGGGGACTCCACACTCCAAGGGAAGGACACTTGGCCACTGCTCTGCTTCCTGCCAGTGAAGAAGCCAAGTGAGAGGTGCAGAAGCCACCAGCGAGTGGGTGGGTGAATGGCAGACCCCCACGTGGGGAGAGGACCAGGCTCGACCATGCCACTGCAGATCCTGTGGCACTTTTCCTTCAGCCTGCATGGCAGAACTTCATCTTGGTGAAGACCAAATCACCACACTTGTAGTGCGGCACCGTTTGCTTTCGTTTCATGGCAGGAGAAGAAAAAAAGCAAACTGTGGTTCCGCAGCAGTGCTGCAGGAGGGTCAGCAGACATCTGCAGCCAGGCAAGCAGGGAGGAGTGGAGGGAGCGAAGGTGGTGGCCCCTTCCAAGCATAGCACACGGAGGCAGCGGGCAAGGTGGGCAAGGCGACCCCGGTTTTCCTGTTGCTGAGGAGGTACAGCGATCGCTAGGCCCGGGCCACCTAGGCAGGGGCTGCATCAGCCTCCCTACCTGTGCCATGTCTCACTCCAACCGGCCGTGCAACTAAAAGTGCAGTGATCTGGTCTTTGCCAAGATGAAGAGCCACAGCCCAGGCTGAATGGAAAGCACCACAGGCTCTGCAGTGGTGTAGCTTGGCCTGGCCCTCTCCCAGCATGGAGGGGCTTCTGCACACCCACCCACTGGTGGCTTCTGTGCCTCTCACTCTGCTTCTTCACCGGCTGAGTGGCGCTAATGGTTGGCCAGACCAATCTGTAAAGAGAGCAGGCAGGTGGCCGGGTGGGAAGCCAATGGGCTGTTTTGGAGCCCCAAGCCCTGCAGAGCTGACACAGAAGGCATGTGGGTCCGATGGAAGGTGGCCTCTATTTTTTGAAAATTTATTTTATTTTATTTTAATTTCATACATATAACCACAAGTATACCATTACATCTGAACAGAATTCTTTTGTATTGTCCATTATTATATCATTCCCTCAACCCAGAACACCTATCATTTGCTCTTCTGCT